ATATGAAATTAACCTACTTAAACACATGACTTTTCTGCTTTTCAGTAGACCATTTTTCAGGTTTGCATATCACTAAGAGGCTCAGAAAATGATCTTGAAAAGTTTTATGAAATGTAATACAAAATATTGATCATAGAAAATAGGATAATTTTTTTTTCAGTTTCCACTATAACTTTCCCATCAGACTGGAGAGAGAGGAAAATATGAAATAATTAGGAAAGTATATAAAGTCCTATGTATAATCTCATAATAATAATCATCCATAATAATAAATAAAATCCTCCTCCTTTGTGCTGCTTGAACTACTCTTCAGTAACAATCTGGTTTTTCCCCCTTTGGACAATTTGTTTCACTTTAATCAAGAAGTTTAGATTACCTAATAAGTGAATCATTAATTCATATTTGGCACTGATTTAGCATTAAAATTTGATACAGGGATGAATAGTATTCAGCTTCAGATACATATCTTTATTTGTAATAACTTACTGCCTGTTTCAGCCTTTCTTCTTGAAGAAGTAAGAAATACCGTTCTTCTAGAGGAAATACAGAAATTGAGTGACACTTCACACTAAAGGAAAATCTCACTCATAGAACTGATATAACACGTAGGAAAGGAAAACCAACAAACTATTAGAGGTCCTGAAAAAGAGCTGAAGATAAGGTTTTAAGATAAATATCATGCCAGATAGGTAGAGATGAAATTTGTAGTATTAAAGATCATAATACTCAGAGTTACAGAACTGATATGCTGTATAGTAGTGAATCTTTCTAATGCATTACACTGAAGGATTCCACAAACATGCCTTGCTACAATACATTTTTGTGCATTAGAATTGGAACTTTCAGATACTTTTCCATTTTCTTTTCTTCCTAAACTAACAGATTTTTGTGTATTACAGTTAAAAAAAAATCAAATTAAAAGTTTAATAATTATTATTAATCTGAAACCTGAAGGGAATAGTTTTGATGCAAAATATTTCTTTGAGCACTAGTATGAACAACAGAATGTCAAATAAATTTTAAACAAACAAGCTGGGTTTGAAGTTTTGAAGTCATTTCAAAGATGGTTTTGCTTTTTTATTGTTATGAAGCTTATGTGACTTGAAATTATGCTGAGTATGAGTGTCTTTTACTTTTGAGAAGTTATGCTGATGTGAAGAAAAGTTTGCTTACTTGAAATGTATTTTGGTATTTCACCTTTCAACCACTGTTTCCTGGTCTTTAGTATAAATAGGTTATGTATTGAGATAAGGGGCACAGTTACATTAAATATATTAATGTGTATGTCAAAGGTGGATCTTCCCATGTTAAAACCCCAGTATTTTGTTGCCAGGAAAATAACTTCCATGAATAGTACAGTTATGGCTAATTCAACACTTAATTAGATAATATTTGGAGATAATAATTTAAATATAAAATAGTTTTTTATCAAAATTATTGGAGTTTCTTTCAAGTGTAGAAAGACAAGCCAGCTTCCTATGAATAACACATCACTATGTCTATGGCAAGTGATTGTGGAGGAACAAATAATAATATTCCTAAGAGGAATGTGACAGTTCTTACAACTGAAACCCACAAATGAATATTTCTGTGTTACTGTTTTTCGAATTAGATCTTTCTATTTAAGGAAACTTTGCATGTTTAAGTACTATTGGACTGAGATTACCATTTTCTTCTGTGATCTAATTTTTTGTGTTTTTTTTACCAAAATGTTTTTTTTCCTTTGCTTGCCAAACTCTGTATGTGATATTTATGAATATTTTCCATATATGTACACAACTATCTTCTGAAGAACCAGAAAAAGTTTTAAGGCAAGTGATTTGCCTATACTCTTCCATTCTTTTCAAAATCATTGCAGTCTCCCATGATCAACTGCTTGGCTGGGATAAATAATGTATTATCAAGGAAGGCCAGAGAGTTGTGTTGAATTTCCCCAATTGAGGATTTGGCTCAGAATAATTGTGCTTACATTTTCACTGAACTCTGCAGGAAAATTTTGTATTACTTATCTAATTACTGTTTTAATCAGCCACACCACTGGGCGGTATTATTTGCAGATTGCTCATTCAAAATATCACTGGGTAAAGTTTTATAAAAGGCCATGTCAAGAATTCCTCTAATATGGAGGTGAACTTTAGAATCATAGGTTTGAAAGAGACTTAAAGGGTTATCTGGTCTACTCCCCTGCACACACTATTGCAGGAGATTCTAATGCTGTTCCTAAATCCTTCTTGTCCAATGCTTACAGTGCTTATCTACCCTCCTCTTGAAAACCTATCATGAAGGAGATTTGTACAACTTCCTTAAGTAGTCTTTTAGATGGTATATTTTTCCAATGCTCCTTTAAATGGCAATATATTTTTTTCCTAAATTTTTTTTTAGTCATAACTGATTTTGGACATGTTGTTATAAAGGAGAAAGCTCTACATATATCTTTTTGCTTATCTTGCCAAATTCCTTTAGTTAAGTCACATCCGCTGTTTGTTTCTTGGCCATGAAAGTGATTGTGACAGTGGCTGCTCTTGGTCAAAATATAGGGCTCTCAACATACCTTATTTTTGTGTACTCATTAGAAAGGGACATGCGTATATGTGAGTTCCCACCAGTTCTGGGTTGTGGCTGAAAATAAAAGGTTCAAGTTAAATCAGTGTTCTGTAGAGTTTCCTCTGAGCACCCAGAATCCACATTACCAATAGCATGGACATGTGTACATCTCTTGGCAGAACAATTCCATTATGGTGGTAGCCATAAATGATACATAGAATTAGACTGTAATGAGAGAATAAGACAAAGTTCATTTTCAACTCTATTCACATATTGTATGAGATTCTATTTATTTAACACTGTTTACTATGTCCTTTGTATTGCATCTGGGCACATCACAGATAAAAACAAGTATACATTATAATTGAGGAATCTGAAAAGCAAGAAAGAACAGATAATGTGTTCAATTTGATTACTGGATTTACAGTCAATGATTTGGTGATTTACCCTATATTCAGAAACTACAGTTAAACTGGGATTAATTGCAAGAAATCTTGAATCTTCCACATAATTTTAATGTTAACAGTAACATATCTTTTCTAACATGAATCTAGGACTGTCTGGAAATGATACAAATACTAGTTGGGTACAAATCATGGAATAAAATAAAAATAAGTACAATGTTATAATGCATGCATTAGTAATAGGATAGTATAATGATGTGTCTGCCATTTATTAGTAGGGATCTCTGGAATTTGTGCCAGAAGCACACAATGCAGTAGCTTCCTTAATCTTGGAGTTTCTTATATGCACTCCCCTGCACTGATTGGTGGAAGGGCCCTATTCGTCGTTCACTGCTTGGGCCTCATGGTTGGGAAATGAAAACTGCTGTGCTTTTCGCCTCCCGGCCATTAGGCATGGGCAGTGAGTGACGCGGCCCTTCCAGCAACCCAGGTGGCGGGGAGGGCACACGGGAGAGACTCTAAGATTAAAGAATCAGGACTCATGGTAGAGGTGATATCTTTTATTAGACCAACTAGATTTTTGCAAAAAAATCTCTTCAATTGCAACCTTTCGGGCACAAACGCCCTTGTTCAAGAATAGGAGAAAAGACTGTAAAAGTTCTCCTGGGTAGAAATGAAAGTTCATATTTCATAGGAGAGTTGAAGGTGTGTTAAAATCTCCTGTTTGGAACAGTTTATTTTATGCAGATTAGGCTCAGAGAAAAGTTGGATTAGTCTGTTTACCTTGAAGTTGTTTGGTGGTAAGCAGGATGTAGTCATATTTCCTTCTGGTTATGGTGTTTCTTTAAGATTAAAGAAGATGCCACAATGTGCACTTCTACAGTGAATTCTGGAGATCCCTCTTTATTAGGTGTTATAAAAAACACTAGGCCAGTGGTTCTCAGCCTTTTTAGACTTGAGGCGCCCCCTGTAACTTGTATGAATTGAACAGTGCCTCATTTCAGAAATTGATTTTATTATGGTGCTTAGGTCCTTGCAGAGAGGTTAGTGAGGGTGGGGGAACAGTTAGGCAGGGAGAGCCTGAGCTTGCCCTTATCTGCTTGTATCTTCAAACTTCACTTAGTTCTTCACACTTCCTCTAGCACCCTTCAAAGGATCTTGCAGCACCCCAGGGTGCCCTGGCACCCTGGTTGAAAATCACTGTAATAGGAACATGTAAGCAAACTGAACTATGCTACATAAAATGATATGTCTGAAAATATTTAAAAATCTAAGCAAAGACCTGTGACAAACAAAATGCAGTTGAGTCTACCATGACAACACACAGGGAGACAAGTTATAGATTGAAAGATCTTTTTTCAAATTCACTTTTCTATACAATTCTAGACTATTTTTAAAATTATAAATCAACAGTCAATGTGCTGAGTGATGTAAATATAAGGTCACTAATAGTTAACAGACTACGTGGGTGTGACAGACAAGTTTTTACAGAGGTGGTGATAACTCCCATTGAAGTTGATTTGATTTGTAAGACCTGAGCACCTCTGCCAAGAAGCCCTTTGTATCTAGTGTTGGTACATGCCTTGACAGCATGTGCAGTTCTGATGGATTAATAAACCATGAGAATTTAGTTGGCCTATGCTGTTTCACAATACGATTTGATTAGTTTAAAGCAGCCTGCTGAAGTTAATTCATTTTAATAGTAAGCAGCATTCTGTAGCGTTCTAGTGGTTCATTTATAAATATGAATTTGACTTCACTTGCCCATGCTTTCAATGCTTTCCTGTGTAGATAACTAGCTACTTGTGCCATTTTCCTAAAAGATGTAATCAGCCATTCCACTTATTGGCAATCAGTTTTGCTGACTACATGAAACAACATTTCTCTGGGTTATGTATAAAAATGTGATACAGAAAAATTTTTGAACTTCACACAGTCATTGTAAGTTAGACAGATAACCATAACGGACCTTAAGATAACTAAGACAGAGATACTCTTCTTTGTATATCAATCCAATTATAGTAATCTTTCACTGTCTTTTGCATATTATAGGATACGATGTCCACATTCTTCCAGTTTGGGGCTTCTATCCAGCAGGAAGCCATTGTCATGCTGAAGATCATGCAGGAGTATGACTGGCATGTCTTTTCTCTGGTGACCAGCACTTTTCCTGGATACCGAGACTTTATAAGTATCATCAAGACCACAGTGGAAAACAGTTTTGTGGGCTGGGACATGCAGAATGTGATCGTACTTGATACTGCATTTGGAGATGCTAAGACACAGATTCAACTAAAGAAAATTCATTCATCTGTTATCCTGCTTTATTGTTCTAAGGATGAAGCTGTTTACATCCTGGATGAGGCACGTTCCCTGGGCCTTACGGGCTATGATTTTTTCTGGATAGTTCCCAGTCTGGTTAGTGGGAACACGGAAATCACTCCCAAGGAATTTCCTTCAGGGCTTATTTCGGTGTCATATGATGAATGGGACTACAGTTTAGAAGCTCGAGTACGGGATGGTCTTGGGATTATCGCCACAGCTGCATCAACTATGTTGGAAAAATACTCCTTCATTCCTGAAGCAAAAACCAGCTGCTATGGGCAACTAGAGAAGAATGAACGTCCATCTCACACTCTACACAAGTAAGGTTTATTGCTGCTTATGTTTTTGTGGTTTTATTGTATTTACATGGCTTTGACTTTTTTTATTCATTCTAGTACCAACCTATTTCCCTGTAGTAAAATAAAGCACCTATTTATTATTCCCATTAGCCTATTTTTAAATGATGGTGCACTCACTTTAATGTTGATTAGAGATTTCCACTTGATCCTGCAGAAAAGCTAGATTGGTATACAACCACTCATACACATCCACTTCAGTTGACCTTTTTTCCTGTGGAGAGGTGCCACTCCCTTAGGTCTGGTATCTTCAGAAATTAGGACTCTGTGTACTAGGTTGGTTGGTGTTTGTGGTAAGACATTCGATTCTTAATAAAATCTAGCTGATCATTTCAACAATTTCTCAAAACATATATAATACAGGGGTGACATTATCAAAATACTAGACTGGGTCTGTGTGACTCCATTAATTCCTGAAGCAAAGCTAATTTCTCAATTCTTAGTACATCAATATTTTTAATATTAAAATGGTGAAGTTTCCAACTATAGAAGTACTAGGCTATTTGGACAGCTATTGATGTGTAGTAACTGAACTCTACACTAGTTTGTGCCATGTCTATCTACAAGTATTTTACCTTGAACACTTTTGTGAAAAAGAGGTCTGAATTAATTTCATTTGACATGGACGTATCTTACATCAGTCTTAAAATAGGAACAGGACATTTGGTTCTGGTCGATATAAACACTACAGTGGTGACCTTTACTTTGAGTTAGGTTTACGGTAGATACTGGAGTAGAAGTAAACAAAAATCCTGACAATTTGTCCTTGTATTGCTTTCCTAAATTCCCTGTGTTCAAATCAGATCTGGTATTCGTCACTACCTGTACTTCAGTGTTTGTATAATGAATGATGCTGCATGCAGCTAAACAGCTTCTTTTTTCCATGGTGGAGATAGCAATGTTTAAGAGGTAGGTAAAATGACTCCAGAACTGGAATTTGTATATATGACTGGAATGCCTCAGGATCAAGGAAGCTAAGTAAATATAAGATAATATTCATGGATGCTTGTTTGACTAAAAAATGCAAAATCACTTCTATAATAGTCGAGATGCATTTTGTTTGATAGCTGTGCTTGCATGAGATTTATGCAAACATCTCTCTGGAAAGAGGTGTTCAGTGAGGTATTTTTACAAGTATGTTAGAAATATGTCTTGCCTGTTATGAACTCTTTTGTGGGTTTGGTGGGGAGGAGGCCAGAAACCTTCAAGACCTGTCATCTGACTTGAGTCAGCAGTCATGCAGCACAAATAATACAACACTCAAAGCACTAGTCATGGGAAATAGTTTGAGCTATCTATAACTGCAAGGTAATTGTGTAAACTATTGAATACTTTCCAAATAATCAACATTTTCACTCTGAAAGATTCACAAATGGATGAAAGAGCTAAATTGTTAGAGTTGCTTCTTGTTTCAAGAACTGTTTGTTCTTGAAAATATTAGGAAACTGGGGAGCTAGAGGAAGATTTTCTAGATTAAATTCCTAAATACAATATCACATGTAAATAGTGGTTGTTATTTTCTTTTTCTGATAATGAAGGGAATTACAACTGTAATATTTCGAATTACATAGTTTTGATACAAAAATAAATCAAGTTCATACTGAATAGAAAAGAGATGCTTGGAAATCTAGCACTCTACCTCTCCTCCCTGCTGACACAACCTATTATTTTCCCACTTTTTAGTATTAAGCTCCCAGCCCCCAATACCTTTAGAAATGACAGTTCAGCACTAGAGAAATATTATACCCAGCCCTGGAAATTATTTTCAGAAAAATGCAGTATACACGATATGTAATGGAATGTCAGTTATCACTTATATATCATGCAAGCAATGAACTATTTGGGCTAAGCCGAATATTACTGTTTCCCCATTAGAATTTTGCACCTACTCTTCTCAATAAAGATTTCAGTGAACAGATTCAGTTCACAATTCAGGTCAGTTCAGTTTACAGTTTTTAGCTGTAATCTATCATGTATAATATTAAAAATTGACTTCTAAATATGTAACTAGAAGTACATTGTAAAATGATCAAACATAATCTTCACATCCCTAAAGCTTTCATGAAAGGACTTTGTACGTGGATTTCCTAGCCTGCTGTCTGCAGCAGGAGGTTGTTGTGCTCTCTTATAAGCACCCCAGCCAGTCCTCATAAGTGGACTGTATACTATATAGTATAGTTCTTAGGTAACAAACAAGTCGGGAAATAGGCCAACAATCAAAACCCATTTGCCTGGTCACTGGCATGCAATGTGGAGCTCTCTAGCTCTGACACCTAGCACCGCAGCCTGGAATCCTCATGTAGCAGGCAGCTGCAGCCATCACTTAATGCTTCTTCTTGGACTGTCCCTTTTACAGTCTTCTTCCCAAGCTTTCTCCTCCAGAGTTTTTAACTCCCAGTGGGACACTCCCCCATTATCAAAAGCTCACAGCTGAATGCCGTTAACAGAACTGGCTGCTCATTTTTAAGAGGACAGCCCAGCCTCTTAACAGACTTCTTCAGACACCTCATGCAGTGCTGGCTTTTCAAAATGTACATTGTTTGGCTTTTCTAAAGTAGATACATACTAGAAAGAACAATGTGCTATTGTGAGAACTTAAAATTTAATTTTGTCATGCAATTCGTTAACACCTTCTTTAAGCCGAAGCCCAGAATAATTTATTCTTTCATTAATACATGAATGAGATATTAAGAAGAGAAACAGATGAAACAGCTTGTTCAGGATCACACATCAGGTCAGTGACAATGCTAGAAACAGAACCCAGGTCTCTGGATTCCCAGGCCAGTATACAAGACACAACACCCTGCTGCCTTTCTAGAACTACAGTTGGGTCTGTTTTCTATTGGAAAACAAAATGAATCAGATGAATCCCTGATGTAAATCAAAATCACCAATTACTAAATTATTTTGCTATGAGGGATTTCAGCATTTTTTTTTACTTTGGTACTGGGCGAGATTTAAACAAACAAGAGAGCTCACAATTCAAAACGGATTATTATGCTACATGATCACACAGTTATTTTTCAGTTTATCGCAAAGACTTTATACGTCTGCTTTGAAATTCCTCACAGCTGCTGCATATCAGTCCATGGGGATTATATTTGTGCAATATAGGCTAAATCCACCTTCATCTAAGAAGTTGTTATTATTCCCTGGTATCACTGGCAGTTTAGGATGTACTCAGGACTTGGGCCACAAATCAAGTTTAAGCCTCCCTTGGCCATCGGGCCACTTGCTATTTTAGGAAGTGTGAAATTTGGACCTATGGTTGCTTCTCTCTCTGTTTTAATCAGGATAACCAGGCTGCATATATGAACCTACAACTCCAGAGCGCAACTCTCTCCTAAGTCCACTTTCATTTGTTGTGGTAATTTTCTCTAGTTTCCCCAGCACAGAGCTCTGTCCATCTTGGCTGTTGATCAAAACCACATGTCAGCCCAGTAATACAAGTCAGTCAGTTTAGATTAATGTAGTGCTGGACACACAGTTCAGCAAAAAGTAGAAACTAAACTCTTGTAGATATAGGATATCTTGATGCAGATCAATAGATTTATAATGATAGTACCTGCATGTTGTATGCAGACTGTTATTTCTAAGTAGTGTTTTGAATAGTTACTACATCAATTAAAGCAAAATGGAAAGTAATGGTGGTGACACTAACTTTATAAAACCAAAATCTTCCTGTTTTGTGTGTATGTGGGGGGTGGGGGGGGGGAGTTGCTGTTATAACTATTTGAAACTACATTCTTGTAATTCAGCAAATTCATTAGACTTGGAAAATGTCCTTTTTAAGGATTTACAAGGGCTTGGACAGAAGGCCATAAGAACTCATGCCTAAAACATCTACAACAGTGCATTCATGTCATCTTGTTAGAGGAGGCTGAACAAGGCAGTATGATTTTTCCACCAGTATCTTAATGGCCAGCTTCTAAGTTTGATGGCAGAACATGTTCTCTATAGGTGGAGGGAGAAAATATTATCTGGGAGGGCTGAGTGTGTGTGCACTTGCGTGTGTGTGTGCCCACAGGTAAGTCTGTCATGAGGAAGGGATGTAGGGGAGCAGATTGAGGCCCCCACAGTGAGGGCAGGGGCTGGGGTGAATGGGGCCCCGGGGTGTGCTGTGGGACACTCAGAGCCTGGGAGACTCCTCCAGAGGTGTGAGGGGCTTCTGCCGCTGCTCACACCCTGGCTAAGTCCTGGGGGGCATCTGTGCATGGGGCAAAGGCAGTCGGGCGCTCTGCACCCAACTGCCTTTGCCCTGAGAACTGCACAACACCATGTACCTGCCACCGCCGGGAGGCAGGACAGGGCACAGTCTGGCGGCAGCAGGCACATAGCATCGCATTGTTTCTGGGGCAAAGACAGGAGGGTCCAGAGCCCAGTCTACAGCAGCATCCTGCCTCCACCCTGTGCGCGGGGGGGGGGGGGGGGGGGGGGGAGCAGATGCCCCTCTTGCCTCCCCCAGGGTGTACGCAGCAGTGGGAGCCCCCCACATCCCTGGATGAGCTCCCCAGGGCTCCTATAGTCCCACGACCCACCCTGGGGCCCCATTAACCCCAGCCACTGCCCATTCCTCTGCCCCACTCCTACACTGTGGGGGCCTTGATCTCGCTGCCCCCTCCAAACCCCTTCTGCTATACATAGTAGACCGAAGCTCCTGACACTGGGGCTGTGATCCTGGCTGTGACACTGGCTGGCTGCTATCCCAGCTGCATGTCCGAGCGTGCACCCCTCCCATCCCACCTGCTGTAGCTGCCCGGAGCCTGCAACCAGGCTGCCCTGCAGCTCAGCCCACTGCCTTGCATTTGGGGCAGCTAAGCCCATTAGCCCCAGCCTTCCACTGCCTATATTTTTGCCTTAGACTAGAGAATGTAACAGGGTGAAAATGGAGATATAAATATTAGTTAAATTTTGGGAAAATATGGGGAGCTGAGGGTTGATAAAAGAAGGAAACTGATGCTGCA